CTTGCAAATTTATAAGAAGACAGTAACCCCAATAAAACAATGGGCAAAAGATAAAAAAACAAAACAAAACAAAACAAAAAAACCCCAGCATTTGTAGAAGAAACCAAAAGTTGATACAATATGAAGAAATGCTCAGGGAAATTCACATTAAAATAGCAAGTTATTTATTTATATCTATTAGATAGAATATAATTAGAAAGTTGAATGATACTAAGTGTGGGGATGTATCTTAGATCATGTTCCCCAGAGGCAGACTTTAAGATGTGGATTCATTTGCAAGTGACGTATTAATTAAGGAAGTCATCCCAGGATAAACTGGTAAGGAATTAGGGGGCACAGGACAGAAAAATGGAAGAAACCAAACAAGAATGTATTTCAGACAGAGTCCTAGCCTCAACCTAGCCTCATCCTGTGGGGGAGTTCTGGCAAGCAAATTACACCTCAGTTCCAACCATTTTAAGGCAAAGAAGTTGGGATTTAATAATTCTGCAGTCACTATTGCCTACAGGCGCCCTGGAGGGACCTAAACCCCCAGGTAGCACTTCCTATTTTCTGGGCTAAGTGGCTCCAACTGCTCAACAGCAATCCTCTAAAGAAGATTTTAGGACTGGCCAGAAGCAAATTACACGGGAACTAGGAGCCGAGTCCACAGGGGCAGAAAAAGAGATTGATGAGAAACACGCAGAGCAAGAATATAGCATCTGCAACAAGCAGTGAGAATTCAGAAACCTCCACGAACTACTGGTGGGAAAACGGACTGAGGAAATCATTGTGGAGAGCAATCTAGCATTTTTTAGACTGATTAGATTAGACAGACCTATGAGTATCATATGACACAGCATTTTTCGTTTGGGATATATTCACAAAGAAATTATAACGTGGGTTCATAAGAATAGTTACTTGGATGTGTCCATAAAGACATGGCTTTCTCTCCCCCACCCGCACCCCAAAATCCTAGGGGTCACTAATGTGATCCTATTACCAAGGCTTCCACAGGCTCCTTCCTTCATCCTGACCTTTTAACGTCATTGGATCTACTAAATCATAAGAGCCAAGTGACAGAACGTGTTTGCAGCCTGAACCAGCTGAAGAAATATTTCTTGCTTTGAGATCCACTCAAATTTGGCAGTTTTTCAAAGGAGTCACCTGTTGAATTTGTTAAGGCAGAATATCCAAAGGTATTATTTGTTACCTCCAGGTAGTGTGCCTTTTTTCTTTTCTTTTTCTTTTCTCCCCTCCCCTCCCCTTCCCTCCCCTCCTCTTTTCATGTAAGGCAGCTCAGTTCTTTACTTGGGAGGAGATTCCTCATATACCTCCAAACTGGACCCCTTATAACAGGCGGCCCTAACCCCCAGGCTGCAGACTGGTACCGGTCTGTGACCTGTTAGGAACTGGGCTGCACAGCAGGAGGTGAGCGGCAGGTAAATGAACGAAGTTTCACCTGTATTTGCAGCCACTCCCCGGCGCTAGCATCACCGCCTCTGCTCCACCTCAGATCATCAGGCGTTCGCTTCTCATAGGAGCACTGGTCCCTGGTGCCAAAAAGGTTGGAGACTGATGCCTTATAAGATAAATTGATGTAAATTCTCTCAGATTTCCCACTTCCTGGCATGCATGCTTTTTAGCAAGGCTTTAAGGATACTTTCTGGACATGCATAATTTTCTTTGGGATGGTGGGAGGATCAAGAGTCTTTTATCAGTCAGGATCCAGTCAGGAAAGTGGAAATGCCTGATATTTCAAGTAAACAGTATTTGCTAAAGGTAATTGGTTACATAATTGGAACACCGAACAAGCCAAAAAAGAGAGGTTGAGGTAACTCAGATTAATATCTTTAGGAAGCTAGCTGCTGGTCAGGCTCTGCCAATTGGAGGCACTCTCGGGAACTGGAAAGTGAAGGAGGGAAGATGGAGTCTCTCCCAGTTTCCAGTTTGAGTCAGCATACTCTCCACCTCCAGCTTCTTCAAGAATTCCCAGCAATAACCTCACCATATCCCATCAAGATGTAAGTAACAGTCAAGCCCGCTACACTCCTTTATCCATTTAGCCACATCTCCTTATGTGGGCTGGGATATACCCCCCACCCCCACCCCAGCAGTCTACACATTAGCAGTAAAGAAAATCTGGAAAATCAGTCCAGTTCCAGCATCATAGGTAAATGTCTGACACACTTGCAGCAAGATGGTGAAGGTACTT